AACAGGACAAGCAGCTGGTTCTCTGAAAGGATTAACAAAATCAACAGACCATTGGCAAACCTAACAAAAGAAAAGAGGGAGAAGACACAAATAACATGCATTAGAAACCACATGGCGACAGAACTGAAGGATATCAAAAGGATAATAACAGAATACTATGAAGAGTTGTACTCCAAAAAATTTGAAAACTTAGAAGAGATAGATACAAGCACTAGACCCTTCTCCAGGGATTGGTCCCTCCTGATATTATGTTCAAAGTAGGAGAGAAGAAGTCTGGCCATCCTGGCTTCTAAGAAGCACTCAGGCTGTACTTCTTCCAACACAGATTGGTTTATACTTTTGGTAGCCCATGGTACTTTTATCTGCTCCAAAACCATAACTCAAATGCATCAGTTGTTCTTCTACAGTCTTCCTTATTCATTGCCCAACTTTCACATGCATGTGAGGTTATTGAAAATACCATGGCTTGGGTCAGGCCCAAGCTATGGACAATATTCGGTGGATGAGTATTCCAGAACACTAAATTGTGCTCATGAGGAACCTGTGCACAGACAAAGAGGCAGCTGTTTGAACAGAACAAGGAAACACTCAATGGTGTAAAAAATTAGGAAAAGTGTGATCCAGGGTTGTTTTCTTTCACCATACTTATTCACTCTGTATGCTCAGTGAATAATTCAAGAAGCTGGATTATATGAAGAAAAACGTGACAGTAAGATTGGAGGAAGGCTCTTTAACAACGAACAATATGCAGGTGATACAACCTTGCTTGCTGAAAGTGAAGAAGACTTAAAACACTTATTAATGAAGCGCTAAGACCACACCCTTCAGTATGGATTGCACCTCAGTGTAAAGAAAACAAAAATCCTCACCACTGGATCAATAAATAACATCAAGAGAAATGGAGACAGGATAGACGTTGTCAAAGTCTTCATTCTCCTTGGATCAACCATCAACACTCATGGAAACAGCAGCCAAGAAATCAAATGATGTATTGCATTAAACAAATCTGCTACGTTGAAGAGCAAAGATGTCAGTTTGAGGACTAAGGTGCGCCTGACCCAAGCTGAGTGTTACAGCCTAGGAAATTCTATTGGGCAGTTCTACTCTGTCAGAATCAACTCTACAGTATACAACAATAACATATTACAAACCATTTGCCCTTTAAACCATTTCTACATGTATAATTCAGTGACGTTAACTTCATTCACCATCTTGTACAAAAATGCTCACTATCAACAGTGAACTAAAGGAGTTCTCATAAAGTTGTTGTTGTTGTCAGGTGCCATTGAGTCAGTACCGACTCATAGCGACCTTATGCACAGCAGAACAAAACAATGCCTGATCCTAGGCCAACCTCACTACTGTTGCCACGCTTGAGTCCATCGATGCTGCCACTTGGTCAATCCATTGCATTGGGGGTCTTCCTCTTTTTCTCTGACCCTCCACCTTACCAAACATGATATCCTTCTCCAGCGACTGGTCCCTCCTGACAATATATCTGAAGTATGAGAGACGAAGTTTGGCCATCCTCGGAAAGTGGTGGTGGTGGTTATGTGCCGTGGAGTCGGTTCCAACTCATAGCGACCCTGAACAGGGTTTCCGAGGCTGCAAATCTTTACGGGAGCAGAAAGCCTCATCTTTCTCCCGCGGGACAGCTGGTAGTTTTGAACTGCTGACCCTGAGGTTAGCAGCCCAATTTGTAACAACTACGCTACCTTGTTGTTGTAAGTGCCATCGAGTCAGTTCTGACCCATAGCGACCCTGTATAGGTTTTCCAAGGAGTGGCTGGTGAGCTTGAACCGCAGACCTTGCAGTTCAAACAGTTTTGCAGTCTGGCGCATCAACCCACAGTGCCACAACAGGACTCCACTATGCTGCTACCTAGTGGGTTACAAATCAGGCTGCTAACCACAAGGTCAGTAGTTCAAATCAACCAGCCCAGCCAATCTGCAGGAGATGAAGCTTTCTGCTCTTATAACGATCTGCCACCTCAGAAACCCTACACAGGGTCGCTATGAGTCAGAACCAAGTCCATGGTCTCTAATCACCACCACCACCATAGACAATGAACGGATAAAGAAAATGTGGTCCACCCATACCATGGAATATTGCCAGAAGGATATATGGATGGGACTTGGAAACATAATGCTGAGTTTAAAAAGTTACAAAAACCTGAAAATTTTGTATGACCCCACTTCTATACAGTATCCAGAAGAGGCAAGTGTACAGGCATCAAGTGGTTACCAGGGGCACCAAGTTTTGTTATGGGGAAGAAGAAATTTGGAAGTGGATCACAAGGATGATTGGCTTCCATTTTTTTAAATGGCTTCTGCACTAATTTTTTAATTTTAAAAATTGTATTCTAAGCAAACAAGGGGGCTCCCAAAATTCATGGAAAAATAGAATGAAAAGATAATGGGGAAAAAATTAAAAGCAAAAAAAAAAAAAAAAATGCAGTTTGCTCATGAACTTCTACAGATGTAGAATCTCCTACATCTGTAACTACAAAACCTTTTGGAATTAGGAGCCCACCCAATAAATAATCGTATATATGGATTTGGACTAAAACAGGGCATTTGATTCTCAGGAACAGTCCCAGATTTATGGACTCTCTACAATACGATACCCAAACAGCCCAGCAAGTGGGACAGGCAGGCTGTCCTTAGCTTTCAGTTGAATTTAGGGTGTCTTTGCTTTGTCTGTGTCTCGGTGAGGCACTGTAGAATCAACACTGGATTGCTAACAGCAAGGTTAGTAGTTCAAACCCACCAGCTGCTCCTTGGAAACCCTAAACAGGGTTACTATGAGTAGGAAATCGACAATCAGAACATGTTGCTTAAGATCTGTGATCCTGACCTGTCCCCAGCCCCCAAAACTGTAGAGTCATCTCCAATTCACAAGGGAGGAAGGGAGGGGGCTTGCTGAGACACACATTCTCAAGCCCACCTTGGATCTACTAGATGAGAAAGGCTGGCAAGGGGCCCAGCCACCTGAGTGCTTACCTGCCCAGGTGAGTCTAAAGCCTACTTGTTGCTGATCTAACTAACCTCTGCTCTAAGGTAACAGGGCTCGGGGAAGGAGGAGCCCCAAGAGGGCTGGCTACCTCCACCTTCAGAAACAAATGAAAGAAAATCACTTCCTCACGCTGAGCCAATTCAGACAGATAAGAAAACACTTTTTTATTTTCTGTAGTTGGAAAAAAAAAGGGGGGGGGGAGACTGAAAAACCACCCCCTCACCCTCCAGCAGCTCCCTTCCTCAGGGGTTCCATCTACAGGGCAGGGTGGGGGTCCTCTGCAGGGGATTCCTTTCCTCTCCTAGGTACCCTGATTCTTACAGCCTCACCTCCTCACCCACAAGCTGCGTTGCTGACAACCTGAGTCCCTCCTGTCCCATCCGCTAAACTACTGATTCCTTGACACTGGGCCTCATCCGCCTCTGTAGACCGCTGTCCCAGGCTCCAGGGCTGGAGGAGTGTTCTTGCCCCGTGTTACCCAAGACCAGTGCCTGTCATAGCTTTCCGACTAGAGGTGCCCTGTTTGTGCTTACTTGTCTTCATCCACTCTCCAAGCACAGCACCTGACTTGCTGCAATGTTGACTCTGATGCTTGGTGCCCAAGGGGTTTTCAGGTCTTTCTTCTGAGCTACCTCTGGGTGGACTGGAGCCTCCTACCTTCAGAGAGCAACTGAGTGCACCAACCGATTGCACCACCCAGGGACCCTGACGTGTGGCCGGTGTTCAGTAAACATTTGAGAATGAAGGGATGGTTGGTTGGTCCCTCTGGCAGTTGAAGGGTTACCTTCCTGTCTGTATTCGGGTCCCACCTAGCATCTGGTCCACGGGAGGTGACGATGTTGATTCAATGAGCCACAATTAAGCACAACAAAGTTTCATGTTCTTCTAGAAGCTTCAGCCTGAACAGCACTATCGGGCGCTACAGCTCCCCAATACTGAATTCCGCACAAGTGGGTACACTCTGTATTATCCCAAATGCACCAGGAGAACATGAAGTGGCACCCACCAGCCCTGTCTCCCACCTGTGCACAGCTCAACATCTCATCGGTGTCCACCCTTCCTGCGTTCAGACCGCTGGCTGTGCACCTGCCCACCCTCGGCTGGGATGGGGCTGGGTCTTACCTGCCTGTGAAGCAATGATGAGAGCGGTGTTCCCCTCGTGGTCCTGCCAGTTGACATCAATGTGGGGGCACTCTGCTAAGACCACTACCGCACCCACGAAGCCGTGGTAGCAGGCGACAATAAGGGCAGTCTAGAAACGAAAGGGGAGGCCGTCAGAGAGTAGGGACTGAGGACAGCGACCTCAAGGAGAGGACTAGACGGGCGGCTGAGTCTCAGGGTGAGAACATAGGGAACCCTGAGGTCCCGCTCTCAATGGCCAGCCGCTCCTTGGTTCTCAAATGCACACTGAGCCAGCCTGGAGTCAGGCACCGTGCCTGGAACACATCAGCAACATAGATGTTTCATAGAGCAAAAGGCCCATGAGCTGCAGACATTAATAAGACTCTTCAGGAAGCTGGTATGGTAGGAAAAGCTTGAAGCACAGGGGTGGGGGTGGGGGGTGTATCAAGCAAGGTGGTCAGGGTGGGCCTGGCTGTGAGGTGCAAGAGGCCAAGATGTAGAGGAGGTAGGGGAATAAGCCAAAGTGGTTTTGAGGGGTTTGATGGTTCATTTTGTGTCCACCTGGCTTCAGTGTCCAGTTGTCTGAACAATACCAGACTAGATGTTGCTGTGAATGTTATTTTCAGATAGAAGAATTGATGCATTTGAGTTACGGTGTTGGAGGAGAATATTAAAAGTACCGTGGACTGCCAAAAGAACAAACAAATCTGTGTTGGAAGAAGTACAGCCAGAGTGCTCCTTGGAAGCCAGGATGGCCAGCCTTTGTTTCTCATACTTTGGACATATTATCAGGAGGGACCAGTCCCTGGAGAAGGGTCGGAGAAAAGGAGATGGAATGGCATAGTGGCAGCAGCAATGGGCTCAACGACAAAAACTGTGAGGTTGGCGGAGGACCAGGCAGTATTTCGTTGTATTGCACATAAGGGCAAGATGAGTCGGAACTGACTCGACGGCACCTAACAACAACAACAACAGGAGTTGGAGTCTGGTGGCACAATGAATAAGTAGTTGGTGCCACCCGCCAGCCGCTCCACTGGAGAAAGACTGATCAGCTTCCATAAAAATTGCCAGCCTTGGAAATCCTGGGGGCAGGGGCAGTTCTACTCTGCCCCTTAGGGTTATTATGGGTTGGAATTAACTCCATGGTAACAGGTTTAACGTCTACAGTGAGTTGAATTTAAGTAAAGATCACTTTTGATAAAGCAGATGTACTTCATCCAGTCACAGTTCATCTGCTCTTTTTATATAGCTCAGAAGAGATTTTGTTTCAGACACACTATACAGGATGTTGCCGAAACTGATCTAAGACCTGGTGTTCTTCAAACAGCACTTCAAACACACCAGCCGCTCCTCAGAAACACTTTACTGGGTCTCCATGAATCGGAACTGACTCAAAGGCACTTAACAACACCAACAACAAGACCTTAAGGAGCTCTGGTGGCGTAGCTGTTACATATTGGGCTGCTAAATACAAGGTCAGCAGTTCGAATCTACTAGCTGCTCTGGGATGGAAAGATGAGGCTTTCTGTTCCTGTAAAGACTGACAGCCTCGGATGCCCTATACAGTGTTGTTATGAGTCTGAACTGCCTCCACGGCACGCTACACCACCAAGAAGACGGCCTTGGAGTCCTGGTGTAGGGGCTTCCTTGCTAATCACAAGGTTGGCAGTTCAAATCAAACCCACCAGCTGCTCTTGGAAACCCTATAGAGAGGTTATGAAGTTGAAATCAACTCAATGGCACTTAACAACAATAAGACTTTATTTACAAATTGGATCATATCCACAGGTACAGCGGTTAGGATTCCAACATGTATTTTGGGGGACACATTTCAATTCATTAACACTGATTGAAAGGATGACTCTCCGTGGGTGGATAGCAGAGGGGAACCTGCGGGGGCTCTTGAAGTACCTTTGTGGATCCATCCCACCCTCCCTCCTTTCACAGCCCCTTGTCCTCTCACTCCTGCACCCACCACAGAGTTGGTTCCGACTTCCCACTGTGTGCAGCTGTGATGACAATCTCAGGAGTCTTAGGGAGATCTTCGGTCTGAGATGACGATGACCAAAAAAGGAGTGAAGATAGCCCTGGGGACTCACTACACACGGGCACCAGCAGACACATACACGGTGACCCTGGGGACCCACACAGGGACCCACATCACCTTTGCTAATAGAGAACCGTGATCCTTGGACTCGGGCATCTCAACTTTCAACAAAATGATAAAGAGGCCGGTAAGGTGAACAATAGATACCATGGAGGTACGCACTTCTTAGAACTATCTACCATCCTAGATCAAAAAAGCAACGTTTGCCCAGGGATAAAGCACTGGACTGGTTTGAACTGAAAGGTAGACAGTTCAAATCCACAAGCTGCTCCTCAGGAACACTATACAGGGTGTCTCTATGAGTCGGAACCGACGCAACAGCATTTAACAACAACAAGAGAAGTCGGAATGGAGAAGGCAAGGCAGATGGAAACAGCACACGGAGGAAGGGGAAGAGGGGCATTGTGGGGGTTACAATCAATGTCACCAATCACAAGGCGTCAGGATTGCTGAGTAGAAAGCCAACTTGCTCTGGATTCTTTCACTCAAGTCACAATAAAAAGTTAGTAACAAAAACATCACCTTTACCCCAATCTTCTGGGGTCTATTTCCAAAGTGACGGTTTCAAGTCTAAAGCTAGGATTTAGCATTATTTACAACTCTCTGCTTTAGTTGGAAAGTTTTAAGAAGGAAGCTAACACAAAGCTTATTGTGGCTTTGTCCTCATTTGGAAATTGTTTAATGTAAGAAAAAATTCCATTATTCATCGTGATATCCACCCCACCCCCCACCCCCACCCCCGCTAAAACTCGTAACTATGAGAGTAAACTTCAGTTACTTGCAAAGTCCACTCTTATAAAACTCCTATCTCTAAAATACACAGACAGGCTTCATGGTTTGATGGGTCTCCTGGTTCAGGGGCAGAATTTTTGCCTTCCATGAGTCGGAACCGACTCCATGGCACACAACCACCGCCACCACCACCACCATCACAAGGAAGACCTGGGTTCGACTCCTGGCCAGTACAATGCTGGTGCAGCCACCGCTCGTCTGTCAGTGGAGACTTCAGGTTGATAGGATGCTGACCAGGTCTCAGTGGAGCTTCCAGACTAAGATGGAGTAGGAAGAAAGGTCTGGTGATCTAAATTCTGAAAATTAGCCAATGAAAATCCTACGGATTATAATGGTCCCATCCACAGCTGACCATGAGGTTGGCTCAAGGCTGGGAAGTATTTCCTTCTGTTGTACATGGAGTCGCCAAATTCTCAATAATTATGAGAGAATTTAAGAAGGTTAGTCCTCTCCCATGCTTATGATTAAGCACTAGGATGAGAAAGTAAATCCCACCAGGACAGGGATTTTGACCTGTGTGCTCACCGCCAAGTGAATCGTCAGATCCAAGAGCACTGCCTCGTGTGAGCCCAGGTATTATCTTATTGAACAAACGAACGAGTGTTTGTTACTGTTAGTGCCATGGAGTCAGTGCTGACTCATAGTGACCCTGTATAGGGTTTCCAAGGAGCGGCTGGTGGGTTCGAACTGCCAGTTTTGTGGTTCAAACCAATCTTGCGGTCCACTCATGAGGACTCCCAAAACGAATGAGTGTAGGACTTTTAGTGAAGAACTGCATCTTCCCAGATGCCCTCGATCTTTGCTCTGTCTCAGGTAACGGGCACGGTCAGGACCCCTCCCTTGGCCCCTTCCCCAGACATCAATCTTATTTATTTGGAAAAAAAAAAAAAGATCCAGCAACTGCAATCACAGCATTGCTTGTGGCTGTTGAGCGCACTCCAATCTCGGCGACCCCACGTGTGTAGAGTAGAACTGTGCTCCAAAGAAACAGATCACCAGGCCTTGCTTCTGAAGCACCTCCGAGTGGGTTTGAACTGCCAATCTTTTGGCTCATAAGTCCAGTGCTTAACCTTTTGTACTACCGGGGACTTGTGCAAAATTCCCTAAACTCACAGAGTTTTAACAATACCACAACCACCACTTGGTATAGTTTGCTTCCCTATGAAATCTCTAAGAAAAAGAAACATATATTCGGGGGGGCAGGACTTTGACTCTGTCTGAGAAAGGGTTCCCGGCCCCTTGAGATTTGTTTACAGTGGAGGAAGATGATTAGACCAGCAGCATGATGGAATACAATCACAAAGCCAATAATCAATCCCACGGGAAGGACTGTTTGTGAATCTGCAAATCTGTGCGGACAAACATCACCACCGACACTGGGCTGGCCTTCTAGGATGAAGCCACAACAAAGTCTCCCTGTATTAACTTTTTTAAGATGATACGAATAAAAATCATCAGGAACTCAAGAAAAGAATACCCTATTGGTGGGGGGGAGGGAAGGGAGAAATTCAGGACAAAAATCAGTTCCATCATTTCATCACAGCCGTGTATAAATCCCTGGGAGGAATCAGCGTCCCTGCTCTGTCTCACACCCACGAGACCGCCTCTAGTTTTCTTTTCTGAAAATGTTCTGAAGATGTCTCCCTACCATCTAATTACGCTGGTTCTCCAAGAGATCCCAGAGAAAGGGTGGTTGATGAGTATCTTGGATAATTCTAAGATCTCATCACACCAGTTCTTGATCTAAACAGATGACTGAAAAAAAAACCCAATGAATCATAAAGTCATGAGCCTGTTATGGGTTGAATTGTGCCCCCCAAAAAAGATACACTGAAGTCCTAACGCCCAGTTCCTGTGAAGGTGACTACCTTACTGGTTAAGTTACCTGGGGTCATCCTAGACTAGGAGGGACCCTAATCCAGTCTGAGTGGTGTCCTTATCAAAGGTACCACGTGATGACAGAATGATGCCACAGCTGCACGAAAAGGAACATCTGAGGAAGACCAGAAAGGACCTTCCCTTAGAAGTAAGAACGCGTCTCCAACACCTTGCTTTCAGACTCCGGACCTGTGAGACAGCACAGAAGGGTTGCTTTAAGGCATGCACTCTGTGGTCATTGGTTATGGCAGCCCCTTCCCATTTTCTCTTAATGATTATTTTTTGTGTGATATGTTGAGGAAATTCTTCAAATTCCAAGACCAAAAAATATATATATTTTGTTCTAAAAGTTT